ACTCAGTGAGTAAACGATCTACCGATCGAATTCCTGTCAGTAAGTCACCTATTTGCAGATATTCCCTACAGCAGCATCACCTCGTCAAGGCAGATATCTGAAGAAAGGTAGTACCGCGCCAAACAATCATATTTATTCAAAAATACGGAAACACGAGCCAAGGGAAACCTACGATCACACTCAGATGGAGGAGGTGAGGCTAATTCCCTATGAATGCTGCCACTATGGACCAAAGTTATGTTGCAGGCAGTACCCGAGAAGCGAATCGGGTCGCTAATTAACTCCGAAATAAAACAGTTACGAAAACGCGAAGACGAGTTGTACGAATCCAGAAAGGAACTTGGACTGCCAACGCTAGAGGTTCTTCTACAGCCGTGAAATGCAGTTCTTGCTACGTCTTCTGAAATTATAGTTGTTCAGGAAATGATGGAGCAGTGGAAGCACGGTGTTCAGACTGCGACGTTGAGACCTACTGCCCGTTATGACCATGCGAATGTTAGTTTATACGAAAGTATCAGAACTGGTCCATACTTCTGCAGTGGCAAAGGCTTACCTCAATAAGCTTACGCTCTCACAAGGGGAGGTTTAACAGGTCAATGAGCCCACTTTCAGAACGGTTTTTTGCATTTTGTGGAGGTTCATGCCAAAAGCGAAAAAAGTGATGTTCATTCTCGCTGCACAGAAATTTTGCAGGTTATCATCCTGTGACGAGACGCAACCTCTCTGTCTGCACAAAAACGTGTCCCAGAACATCCGAATTTTTCTCCGCGGAACAAAAGAGTTTCCCCATCGTTGAGTTCCTCATCAACCCGTAGAATTTCTTCATCCCCTCCTTGGCTTTAAAGCCTCCGCACCCCTACATTGTGCAATAGAGTGTTTCGAAAATGGACTCCATTGGCCGATAAGTCTCCATCAGAAAACCAGCCAGTTTTTCGAGAAAGATTGCTGTAGTTTGTACTTTTGCTTGAGTAGTACACGATTAGAATAAAATGAAAGGGAAAGAATAATATGCACATTCGTTAGAATGGGTCACATCCATAATCTCTTTCTACAGTACGCCGTGCTTGAGCCTGGTGGAGGAGGAGATTGCGGTGAGGGGGGGGGGAGGGGAGAGGAGCGGAGTGTGATCTATCCTTGATAAAATTTTTCCCGACCGCGATAAAACGTTCCCGCTTGTCGACTTTTTCGATTTTTCCCGTTTCGGCGCTATGCCCTCCGCCCGCCTTTGTTGGCGGTGTCGCAAAAGTATTGTACACAGGGCACGTCGATGTTGGGAATCCCCAACGGGGGGGGGAATCGTATATTATGGCCCGGGTGCCCGCGGGGTCCGACGGGCACCGAGGGGCCGTCGCATCTGCGGCCGAGAAAAGATTTATTTCGATAGTTGATTTTTCTTGTTTCACGGACGTTGTAAAGGGGAGGGTCGTACCTGCTCGTTGTTAGAAAGGGGAGGGGATCGTATTTACTTTTTGGCCCTCTGGGAGAAGTGGTTGATTTCCGTGGTTTTCCTGTTTCTTATGTGCTATTTATATACCCCGCCTGTTTTACATGTGCAATTTACCACCCACACCCCGTCGACCCAGCTGGCGATGAGGAGGACAGATGGCCGGAGCGGAGGGGGGGTCGTAAGACTTCGTACCAAAAAAAAAAAAATACGCCAACGCAATGTTGGGGCGCCGTGCCTATCAACGACGTGAATTTCTGGAAGGTGGAAATTAGATAGTTAAATGCGACGGCTTCGTGCCATCCATTTAGACAGCCCGCACCGTCCAGAAAGTTTTTAGGGAAAGGACTGAAAAAAGTGGAAAGAGGCTGGGAAAGCATTGGGAGAGGGGCGCTTAGGAAAATGACAGGTAGCATGGGAAACGGGCGTTGGTACTGACGCCGCCATCTCATGCATTGGTGGGAAGTGGTCGTAGTATTATTCGTCTCCAGAAGATATTCTTACTAAATTCCTAATGGGGCTGCCTGTCGCTCAAGAGAGCGCCGGTCCTACCAAGAAGCCTTACGCAGCTCGCGATTCTTTTGATCAGAAGGAAATTGGTATGGGCGTTTCGGGCCATGACTAGCCTGACGGGGTATATTCCGACCGCCCGCACTTCATGGCTCGTAGCACCAACGACAAGGACATAGAACCATGTATCTCAATGGCATGTAGCTACTGTACCCTGGGTTTGATGCATATGTGATTGATCTAACATTCCGCTCTCGTCTTGCTACTTAGCCTTAAAAGATCCTACAGCTTGCTACGCCGAGGAGTTCTAGTTGTTCCCTAACAACATTAATGGTTCATTTTCAGACCCGAACGAAACCTGTCCTGCGGCCATCACAAGTGAACTCACCTCATGATTCCTTGGATTGTTAGTGCATGGATCACCCTCCTTTCAGTCATATCACTAAGCCTCAACTGTGTGCTTTTCTTTACCGTATTTGGATATTAGTTTCTAAGAACCAAAAACCAATGTGTCTCGAAAGCTCCTCGAAATTTATATTGTTTATTGCTAAACTCAGAACGACTCTATCTACTAATTGCTATATTTATGCATCAAATAAATATTGATTCCACGCTTATACACATGAATGTAATCGACACCCACGCACTGGTAGAGATCGACTGTCAGGGCTACAAATAAACAGAGAATTTGGGATGTTTGTCTCTTTGTTATCCCGCTAACCCATGTGTTCAGTAATCATAAGGTTTGCTCGCTAGTAATGTAAATTATCGCGATTTCATAGAGTCAGTGAACATCCGGTGGAGGACTCAATGGGGTGGGCCCAAAGAGATAGCTCACTTTCCGTTTCGCACGTGCCCTTAGAAACTAATCAGTCAGCTGTATCGTCCCCTTGTTTTTATCATTAAGGGAAGGGAGGAACGAAAAGTTTCAAAATGATAATTTTCGCGTGATGTTCCACTTAGTGAGAATTAACTCATGATCGGCTTCTTTTCACGCAGCTTTATGGTTTTCATGAACTAAAAGCGTCAAATCGAAGGGGTCCGCGATAAGGAACGTAGGTAATGGTGTTCAGATACAGGAGGGAAGTCATCTGTGAAAAGAAAATGCCAAAGGGCACGTCAAAAACGCCTTCAATGCGACTCCTAAACCTTTAGATTATACAGATAAAAGGCG